ATGGCTTCTTTTTATTTGCTTCAAATAATATTTTTAGAAAATATAAAAAATTACTTTACAGGCCCTTAAAGTCTTCAGTTTTTCATTATGCCTTAATCTCTTTAAGTTTTTTGGGGGGAAGAAGAAAAGATGGGAAATCTTATTTTATCTTGACTTATAGTCTGAGTATGACTTAAGCTGAGATATTGCTCTTTGACTATTTAATAGCCACCTGAAACTGAATATATATTGTTGAAGTGACTTTCCCGCTTCAACCATCTAATTTATTTTTTATTGGGATGTTATAATTACACATAGCTGTGGGATTCATTGTGCCATATTTGTATTTATAAACAACATAATTTGATCAGTCTTATTCCCCAGTACTTTGTCATTTTCCTCTCCTCCTTTCTCAGCTGTCTAAATTGAACAGGGTCATATAGAAGAGTATGAGTTGAACTTTTCATTCCCCTGGCTGTACATGGGCTGAGTTACACCAGTAGTGTAATCATACATGTGTGTAGGGTAATAATGCCTATCTTATTCCTCCATCTTTCCCATCCCCACCCCTCATTCCCCTATACACAATCTAAAGTTACTTCATCCCCCCCCACCCCCGTTATGAATTAGCATCCACTTATCATAGAAAACATTTGGCCTTTGGTTTGGGGGTTTTGCTTAGCATGATATTCTGCAGCTCCATTCATTTCCTTGCAAATGCTATACTTTCATTCTTCTTTAAGGCTTAGTAATATTTCATTGTGTATATGTACCACATTTTCTTTTTTTAAAATTTTAATTTGTTATATATGATAGCAGAATGCATTACAATTCATACTACACATATAGAGCACAGTTTTTCATATATCTAGTTGTATGCAAATTAGAGTCACTCCATTTGTGTCTTTATACATGTACTTAGGGTAATGATATCCATCTCATCGTCTTTCATGTCCCCCTCCCTCCTCTTCCCTCCCCTGTACCACATTTTCTTTATACATTCATCTGTTTCAGGGCATCTAGGTTGGTTTCATAGTTTAGGTATTGTGAATTGGAGCTACTCTATTTTGTGTTCGGTATCTGCATATTCATTGATTAGAATTTTCTTTAATCAGTCCTATACTTCTTAATTGGATTATGCCTTCAAAATCTTAATGTGCCTTTATACGTTAACATAAGTTTTAGTTTATTTTAGTCACTTTCTTTCTGTGAGTACTACCTGAAATATGATTTTTCAGTCTAAAGTATTTTTGCTTTTAATGGTCATGTTCATTTATAGTTCTTACTAATTTATTATCAGATTAAAAGGAAAGGAGGAACAGGTGAATACCATGAAGGTTCTTATAGAAGAGAAGGAGAAAGATCTAGCCAATAGAGAGAAATGGTTACAGGTGAGACTTTACAAACAAAAGTTAAAAAATACCTTTTTTTTTATATTTGAATATCAGTTCACATCTATTCTTTTTAAGGATCTGCAAGAAGAAAACGAATCTTTGAAGACTTATATGCAGGAAGCAGCACAACATAACTTGCAGAAGGTATAGTATAGACAAATTACCAACTTGTTACATAGCAATGAGAAATCTTTATTGTATTTGGAAGTAAAGAAGTTAAAGTGTTCTTAGTTTCTTAACCAGGAAAATCATGTTTTCCATTGTTATTATTAAAATATCTTAACTTGTATTCCAGTCAAGTTATAATTAACAGCTTGATTTCTCAGTCTAAGCTTATAAGCGTTTCCTTCTTCCTTTTTCAACTGCACAGCAGGCTCATTTTTAACTGTGTTTAGTTTGTATATTAATCTGTAGTCTTTGAAAAATAAATAACAAAAGTTAAATTTGATCAAGAAAAAACTCATTCTTTGTTTTACAAAAGCTCTAGTCTTAAATTTACCACATAATTATGTTTTTATTTTACTGGTCTGTGATTCTGTATTTTTATTGTAATACCTGGTTTATTTTGATGTTGGTGTTAAAAAATGTGAATCTGTTTCTTAGGCGTATTCTACATCACAATTTGAAGAGCTTGAAATTGTGTAAGTATACATTTAGCCAGCTTCCCCTAGCCCCTGCTGTATTTTTTTTTATTAATGCATTATAGTTGTACATAATGGTTGGATTTGTTCTTATGTATCTGTACATGCACACAATATAGCAGTATAATTTGGCCAAATTATTCCCCCTTTCCCCCTCCTACTCCTGTACCCTTTACTTATCTCCCTTCTATTTTCATGAGATTCCTCACCCCTCCTACCTTTTTTCACCTTTCTCCCTCTCTAGCTTCCACACGAGTAAATATGATCCTTGATCTTCTGAGTGTGCCTTGTTTTGCTTGACATAATGGTCTCTAGTTTCATCCATTTTCCTGCAGATGACATAATTTCATTTTTTATGACTGAATAAAACTCCATGTACACACACACACACACACACACACACTACATTTTCTTTATTCATTTATCCATTGATGGACACCACACAGGTTAGTTCCATAGTTTTAACTATTGTGAAATGTGCTGCTTTAAACATGGTTATGCATGTCTCAGCTATTGTATGATGACTCATTCTTTGACTCATTCTTCAGATTAAATACTGGGTCATATGGTGGGTCCATTCCTATCTTTTGAGGAGCCTTCATGTTGATTTCCACAGTGACTATACTAGTTTACAGTTCCACCAATAATTTAAAAGTTTTCATTTTTATCCACATGACTGCCATTTTAACTGGAGTTAGATGAA